TTTACCGACTAGGGCGCGACCTCGTCGAGATGTGGTGGATCATAGTCTTTCCCTCGTTGATTCATGGATCTAGTTTTAGTGGCCATAAAATGGGAAAAGAGTAGGAAAAAAAGGGAAAAATAGTAGGGTAAAAACTAAGTGGTTTTCCACAGACGGCGTCAAACTGATAATGCACAAAAGTGAGTTTATACACCACTTGTCAAGTATTTAATGCAAAAATTGGGAAAGAGACTAAATACAAACAAACACAAAGATTAGGTGGTTCTGTCTCGATGACCTACTTTACTAGGAATGGCAACAGTAGCCGGAGAATCTTATTATTCAAGTGATGTAATGTGTTAAGATGTGTGTGATGTCCCCCTATGTGTAGGCGGTACTTACGATTTATAGGCAAATGATGTTAGCTTTGAGGGGCTCTGATTGAGGCATCATCCTCATGACTGATTCCGCGAAGTTTGCCTTATCCTCATAACGAGCGAGGGGAAAGTGGGGTGATTCCTCTATGGTCACCTTATCACGTAATGGGTGAGGTGATCTCACGAGACTGAAGATGTTCCCCCAATGACTACGTCCCACGAATTCCCTCTCATCGGATGGAGATTCCCACATGCGCTGATAATTGGTTGGGTTTCTCAAGAAGGTGGGCTTAGCCCAACTAGAATTATGACTGAACCTTTGTTCATCTGCATCTGTGCTTTGGACCTATCATTTGTGATTTGGGCTGACCCCATCAATAATCGCGTGTAAACCAATATGTATCTTACAAAGCTTATGTTGAATATAATTAGGTTAGTTTGGTTTGTATTTTGTTTAGTTGACATTATATTAACGGGTTTGCGAGTTTATTTATTTATGACCTAAAATTGTATTGAATACCTGATTAGTTTGTGCTAGATCATTACATCCAAAAATCTGTTGTCGTCAAATCATTTTATGTATCGATGAGAAATAGCTTCAAGCTAACCTTTTTTTTTTTTTTTGCTAAACAAAAACGAGCTGGGTAAAGGAAAGTGCCCAAAAACCACTCCAAAAGACCCTCACTGGTAGGATCATGAAGTCCCTAACCGTGTCTATTATTCATCTCGAAAACAAACCTAACTAGACAAGCACATGACCAAAGTTTATTATAAAACAGATTAAGTTTTTTCCACTTTAAAAATTTTGGGATAAGATTTTGTTGAGTAAAGTTGAAATTAAAATTTTTTCAGTTTAACTCTAGATAAATTGCTTAAGAACATAAAAGGTTATTGAAACTTTCTCGTGGGTGAAATTAAAATTTTTTCAGTTTAACTCTAGATAAATCGCTTAAGAACATAAAAGGTTATTGAAACTTTCTCGTGGGTCTCACTTTAATTTGGTAAAGCCTTTTTAACAAATTTTTTTTTTGTTAAATGGTCAAGGCTCTTCAGACTAACTTATGCCAACTTCGATTAATTTCCTTCTTAATTTGGTTAAAGGCAGATCATCTAGTTCGGAACTAGGGTATCTATGAGAAATAAATTTCTCATGGTCTAGTTATAAGGGATTGTCAAGATTCAAATTCAGGACGCTTAATTGCAGAGCTCGTCTCTATTATCACTTAAACTACTCTGTTAAACATTTTTAACACTTTTATGATATTCGAAAGCTTACCATTGGATTTAGCTGACAATGAGCGGATTATTTGCGGCAATTAAATTCATTTATCCACTCATGAATTTCTTATTTTTAATGTGAATGGTATGCCTTTGATTGAATTAGAGAGAAGATTAATCAAAATTTGTATAAAATATTCTAAATACCTCTAATCATAATACAAAAAAAAAATTAAACTAAAGAAAAAAAAAAGAGATATTAAAATTTTAACACAACAAATATTTAATTCACTAATTTATCATGTTAAATAAACTAACCCTAAATAAAATGGGACCTAGCCCCGATATTAAAACCATTCACTTTTTAAAAGAAATTTGTTATTTAAATCTGAAATGTTTGACTTAATTTGTTCACCTAATCAATCCGAACTATTACATTGGTAATGCCATAATAGATTCCAATAAGTAATAGGATCCATAAAATTAAATCAATAGCAGCAATAGGCAGCATTTTAAGCCAACGGACCATTACTACTTTCAAAATGGTTCCCCTACTGTTCTTAAACTGTCTGACGTGTCTATCAAAGAAGGGTTGTACGGTTATGCCGGGTATAATGTAATTAGCTTAATATAAATAAGTTGCTCAAATATAACAAACGGTCCCGTAGCTCAGTTGGTTAGAGCGTTGGTCTTATGAGCCGAAGGTCGCGGGTTCGAGCCCCGCCGGGACCATTAATTTTGTACTTTTATACCCTTCGTCATTCAACTCTCTTTCCTTTTATACCCTTCTTTTATTTTGTTTCTCTTTCCTTTTATACCCTTCTTTTATTTTGTTTCTCTTTCCTTTTATACCCTTTCTTCATTCAACTCTCTTTCCTTTTGTACCCTTTCTTCATTCAACTCTCTTTCCTTTTGTACCCTTTCTTCATTCAACTCTCTTTCCTTTTGTACCCTTTCTTCATTCAACTCTCTTTCCTTTTGTACCCTTTCTTCATTCAACGCTCCCTTTGTTTATTTTGTCTCCTTTTTAACCCTTTCTTCATTCAACGCTATAACTTTCCTTTTATACCCTTTCCTCATTCAACGCTCAAACAACAAATTTAAAATGATGGCCAGGACCCCTAAACTACCATCATGTCCAAGCATTGAGTCAGTCCACCCCACCCAAACTCTATGATTTGTTTTTTTCTTTTTTGGTTCCTCCTATCTATAACATTATCAAAAATATTCAATAACAATCACAAGGTTTAAATTTAAAAAAAAAAAAACCCCTAAGACTTATCAAGATTCCATCTAATAATACAAACTATATATTAATATTTATCAAACTGATCATATAAATAGTTTGAATAACAGGTACCAAAGTTTATAAGAGATGTGGTTCGAAATACAAGTTTTGAAGTTTGTTTCTAACAAAAATTTGGGGTTGATACAACTTTTAGGGTTACATCTTTTTGCGGGTCAACTTAAATTTTTTTAAAAATTGTAAATAAACTCAAAAAATTATACAAAAAAAAATTAAAAATTTGAGGATACTGTTTTTTCTGTACAATAAACTTCTCTTAAGTAAAGTTGTAGATGTTAAGTGTTTTTAATAGATTGTGTTGGCTAAATGACGTGGCAAAATGATGTTTATTAGATTTTAACGGCTTTAATAAGGTTCAATAATTTAGTCATTCATATTGATTTATCATGCAAGATTTGGTAAAAATTGTAGCTAGTCTAGCATTGTTGTGTCAGCTATGACGGACTATTTTGAAGTTTACTATCTCGATCAATTCTCATAAAAAAATATTAGGGAAATTCTATGGTATCAAAAAATAAATCGGTACTGTATCGTCAGTTATTATTTTATATGTGTAAAGTTATAATTGCTCAAGGAATACTATGATCACAAACACACATAATCGATTATAAAAATTTTGATTTCGATTTCAACATTTTATAATCGATCATGTCCTTTAAAATTATAATTTATATTTTAAAAAAAATTATATCTTAGCCTTAAAAAAATTATAACTTAATCTTAAAAAATTTATAATTTTCGATAGCAGTACCGTCACCTTTTCCAAGATTCCAAGTCACTTGGTTTGCACTTGCTGTGCACATTCAGAATTTATGACAAGAAGTTACAAACAAATTATATGGTCGGAAGGTGTTTTTCCTATATATGTATAATAATTAGTGGCGCAATTTGGGCGGTCAACCCCAATTTAACCCAAGTCTAACTTCAAAAAAACAGGGTTAGAGTTAAAATTTTTAATACTTGAATTGAGTTTGAACAAAAAAATCTCAACCCAAATTAAATTCGAGCAACCCCGATTATTAAATCAGGTTGAACCCGAATATACATAAATATATATAAATATATTTAGGTAAAATTAGTATTTATCTTCATTTTTCAGAGTTCAGACTTTCACTTCACTTCACTTCACTTCAAGTCTTCACTCATGCGCCTCCATCACTCTTAGATCCCTCTCTCACTCATCAATCATCTCTCATCTGGTCTCAGACTCTCAGCCTCCCTCTCTCACTCGTCACTTGTTTGAGTCGTCTCAGACCTTTAGCCTCCTTCTTTTACTCGTCACTCTTCCCTCTTTTATAAAACCGAATTAAGTAACCTGAGTCTAATCCGAAAATAACCCGAAATAAATAATTCGAATTCCACCCGAGCCTGTTCGAATTAAACCGGGTCAGTACTCAGGTTGAGTACTTTGAGTTGAGGTAGAGTTAGAATTAGAGTTAAGATTAAGGTTAAAAATTATATATTTAAAATTGGGTTAGAATTAACTTCTCAATTCGTCCGAGTTGCAACCTAATGATAATGTATGCTATTGTATTTGAAATTTTTGGAGAGAGCCAAACAGGATGTCAATCACTATCAATTGTTTGTGATAGTTTGTTCACCTGTCACTATAAGTCATCTTTGGTTGAATAAACAAAAGGCGTCGGATGTGTTGGATCGTTAGTTGAGGCCTTTGATTGAAGAGAGATAAACAAAGTGACAGAGAGGGGCAGAGTTTTATTTGACACTCAATGATATTTTAAGTATTAACAATTTTTTTAGTTTAAATTAATTCTTATAAATATTTTAATTTTTAAGTGACTAATTTGTTTTTAATTTAATAAAAAAAAAGTTGTCAAAATATACATAAACCGACTATTATACTCTGACTGCTGAACCAATAGATACTACACCTTATAGGGAGAGAGAGAGACCTTCACCCAAGTCCAAAAAAAATATTATGTGACCAACGCTATTTGAGAAAACAAAATTGAGGCTGGTGAGGAGAGATGGGCCATGGCAAATATTCAGAGACACCCACCTTTATTCTTTCTCTCTCCTCTTCCAGGTATTTCTTCCTTTCCACTCCTACTACTAATACTATCACCACACCACCACAACCAACATTATTATTACAACATCTTGATTCTCATTTCTTCTTCTTTTCCATCATTTGGTGATTACCCATTTGCCAAAAAAGGTTCTTCACAGACTCATGTGCAAGTTTCTTCTGTGGTATGTAATTCTTTACATACATCTGGGTTTCTCTGTTTTGTGCTATCTTATTGTTATTTATATGCATCCAGATGTTGTATGTTGTACATTTGTGCTTAGGATTACCCATTATGCATATGTTGATTGGAGACGATGATGGATCTGGGTGTTGAAATGTTGAGAGAGTCAAACATTGACTTCAGTTGATTGAGTTATAAACTATTCTGTTCTGTGAGAAAATAAAAATTAACTTAAATTGATTGAGTTGGAAACTATTCTGTTAATACAATGTGTAATCTGATCTACCTGTTCAATATCTTTGATGGGTCTGAAATTATTATGCTGCATTACTAGCTCCATTTTCCTTTATTTCAAAAAAAAAAAAAAGAAGCTAGATTTGGGATATGAAAATGAGTGCTTTTATTTTCTGCTAGTGTTGGCTTGATTGCAACATGTTTTGGATGAAATTTAGGCATTTTGTTCTCTTGAATTTAGTGGCAGTGGCTTTCTCCTTGCTAATTCACTTGGTTATTCCATTTGAAACGGTAGAACTGTGTCAATTTGTGATGTTCCCTGAATTTGAATCAAGACAATCTGTCACATCCCATTTCAAAATGAGTATACAGAATTGGAGTAGTTTTGAATCGAATCCATTTGTTGGGAGCAACGTGGTATCCCTGAATTGCAAGATTTAACAATCTTCTGTTTTAGTTATTAATGCCATATTCAAATTTGCATCCTTCACCTTTGAAACTGGATATACAGCACGATTGACATGTAAACATTTACAACCTCTTTTGTTGAATGAACTACAAGGCTTCAAATGTGTTGGAACTTTGATTGAGGAATTTGAGAGAGAGAGAGAGAGAGAGAGTTTGCTTCATCTGATTATACGATCTGTTCAAGTTCAATCAAGTCCAAAAAAAATATTTCATGTTCAACTCTATCTGAGAAGACAAAATAAGGCTGGTGAAAGAGATAAGCCATGGCAAATGTCCAGATACACCCACCTTTTATTCTTTCTCTCACCTGCTTTAAGTATTTCTTCCCTTCCACTCCTACTATCACCACTGCCAACAACAGTACTGTTACACCACTGTGTTCTCATTCTTCTTCTTTTTCGTAATTTGGTGATACCCATTTGCCAAAATAGGGTCTTCATAGACTCATGTGAATGTTTCTTCTATTGTATGTCATTCTTTACTCACCCATCAGGGTTTTCTCTGTCTTGTGTTTTCTTATTGTGATTTATATGTTTCCCATTGTTGCATGATGTACATATGTTTTTAGGATAACCTAGTTTGCATTTGCTGACTGGTGGAGAGTGATTGATCGGAGCGTTTAAATGTTGAGAGAATCAAATGTTGACTTCAGCTGGTTGAATTAGAAACTATTTTTTGTACAAGAAAATAAAAAATTAACGTAAACTGATTGAGTTGGAAGCTGGTCTGTTCGGTGTTACTGTTCTGTTAATCAAATGTAGAACCTGAGCTGACTGACCTATATCTTCAAGGGGTGTGAAATTATTTTTTGGGAAGTATGCTGCATCACCAGCTTGTTTTCCTTGATTACAAAACAAAAAGCCATAGTAAGGATATGAGAACAAGTGCCTTTTATTTTCAGCCAGTGTTGATTCAAATGGAACATTTATGAGATGAAATTTAGCCATTTTGTTCTCTTTAATTTAGTGGCAATGGCTTTCTCCTGATGAATGCAAGTAGAAGCGCTAGAACTGTGTGATTTGGGATATCCCCTGAATTTCAATCAGGCATACACTTTGCATTTGAAATGAGTAACATTATGGTAATTGCTAATTGAATTCATTTGTTGCGAGTAGCATGATATAACATAATTGCAATATTTATGAATCTTCTTTAGTTACTACTCCCTGTATCAAATTTGCATCCATCATGTTTGAAACTGGATATAGAGCATGGTTGACATGTAAATATTTACAACGCTGCTGAGGCTAATTATACGAACCATAGAAACTTCTCTGCAGATAAAGCGAAATTAAGGCATTCAACAATTTTTTGGAACGACTGACATTTAACATCAAGGATGGGATCTGGTGATTGGATTAAGAATATACTCAGCTTAAAGAAAAAAAAGGATGACAGGTCTAAGAAATTGAAGGTATGCAACCAGTGAATGCTACTTATGTCACAGTTCATTTTAAAACAATTTAATTTGTCATATAATTAATTAAACATACATTGCAAATTTTTTACATTAAGTACTTGTAGTTTTCTTAATATTCTGATATCCTTCTACTTCCTTTACACTCACATGCATAGACATGCATGAAATGTTTTATCGATCAATGATATTGGTTTTCATGTCGTTATTCTTTTCTTCACCACAAAGTCTCTAGTATTGTCATAAGAACTTTATAGTGTAAATTAAAAAGGAAACTTCATCTAGGATTCTTTTAAAGATTTTATCATTTTTAGAATTAGGATTGACCATCTGATTGATTGTCTGTGTCATATCCAAAACCTGATATACTGGTAAAAGAGCATGATTAGATGTACCGATTGCAGGCTATCTGTGAAGGGAAATTTTCTTTTTCTTTTCTTTCTTTTTAGTAGGTGAATAAATAAGAGGCATCTAGAAGAACACCAGGAAACTTGCCCATTCCGATTGTCAGCTACACGCTTTATACACTTTTTCAATTTGCTCTAACTGTCATTTTAATGTTATTACATTATTGATTTTCTAATCATTTCTTCACCATAAGACAGGAATCTTCAGCACCCAAAAAGTCAAATGGTTTCAAACAGGAGCACGCCTCTCAGAAAGAATATGCTAAGATTACCAATGGTGCTTCTAATGGAAATCCTGGAGTTCTTGGTATGCATGTCGAAGATATAGCAGCAACTCATATTCAAACTGCATTCCGAGCATACATGGTACTTCTACGCCTTATTAGATCTACAAGTCATGCTGATGCACACTGCTGCATTTTGATCTATTGTCTAATATTGTTCATGTTTATGTAGTACACTGAATTGTCTTATCTTTTATGATGTAACTTGATGCTCATTTACAAAGAGAAACATTTTCCCACCTGTGGAAAGGATTAGTTATCCAGGTCAGCATACTCTGTCTGAAAATGATGTCCACAGACATTCAAACCCAGATCATCATACATACTTATTGCTGCATAACATAAATTCATGTAACAAATCATTTCGCTTATTTCAGGACTTATAGGATTGCATTCCTTATGTGTTCAAAGATTTTGTTTGGGCCATGGAAAAACTATCAAGGAAATCCAAGAGTCGTAGTAGTATTGTTTGAATATGGTTCAATGCAGTTATATAAGTGTAACAGAGCTAAGTTGCAAGACTAGATGAAGACTGGAGGGAAAAAGAGGTGTAGGGTGCATCCTTGATGATTAACAATGACACACTAGTACCCCATGCCAAATTTTATTGTTCCTGTAGCTAGAATAGAGTACCCTTTCTGTAAGGGACTTGAGAGGTCTCATGTTCTAGTAATAGAATCCAGAAATATAGAAGTCTCCCTGAGAATGAATTAAATTGTTGTAGTTGTAGCATCTGGTCAAGTGATTGGAAGAATAATGGTGTATCACGGCCTACATTTGCCTAGATCTTTATGCACCATGTGAATAGCAAAAGCTATGATTTCTTATTCAAGGATGCCACAGTTTTCAATTTTAATCTGGTTGTTTCTTGTAAGCGAGCAAAGTGTCAGCAGTGAGGATGAATAAATGTTCCTCCTCCACTTCGCATGTGCTTTACACTTCAATAGACAGAAAACTCTTTTACTTGAAAACCTTCTGGGCATCTTCTTGACAGGATTCTCTAATTACTGGCTCTTGAGTCACTTCCGCGAATTAAGTGTGTTTGTGCTTTTGATATTGTTTCGATTAAAAGAATGGTTATAGGATAAAAAGTAACTTCTGTGAACCCTGAAGAAGTTGCTTGACCAGATTGCAGCTCAAGCTCAAATTTCCAAACCTTTGTAGCTGTAAACTAGAAACTGTAAGCAGTTAAAATTGTGCGTCTGCCAAGTCTCCGTGTATGTGCAGAAAGCGGGCAGCCACTGTGCTTTGTTAATATGCATGACTTGCAGGATGAATAGTGTGTTTTTTCCCTGTTGTAGGCGAGGAAAGCTTTAAGGCGTTTGAAAGGGACAGTAAGATTGCAGGGACTGATCCAAGGCCATTCCATCAAAAAGCAAGCGTCAACTACACTGAGCTATCTTCATTCATGGAGCAGCATACAGGCCCAGATTAGAGCTCGCCGACTCTTTATGGTAACTGAAGGCCGGAACAGACAGAAGAAGCTGGAGAACCAATTAAAGCTCGAGGCAAAGCTTCATGACCTAGAGGTACGACTGGCCCTGCATGTTAGAGTTGGTAGCAGAGTTGCTAGAAATGCTGGTACCCTAGTAAATTTCATTTTAGAAAACATGCTGTAAAACTTTTTCCACTTTCATCCTAGATAGTAAATTTAGTGATTGAAGAGATTTATCCATGATAAGACTCAATAAAATACTTGAAACAAAGTTTCCAACATAATATTTGTAATTATTTAGTGTATAAAATGTACCTCTAGCCTTCCACCCTTTGTAGCAAAGGGCATATTCCCTTTCCAGTCCAATTCAATGTTCCAGATAGAACTGCTTGTGGGGTGGTTGTTATCACATTTTTAACTACCTATTGAAATAGAAATTGTTATATATATCATTGATACTAGATTGGAGGCTGTTGCATCAACCTCTATTGCACCTTACAATCTTCTTAGATGGAATCAAACTGTCATGGAGCTTCCTTCAATTTATAGTCCATTGATTAATGTTAAGTATTTGAACCAAAAAAAAAAAAATTAATGTTAAGCATCCATTTAATTAAAATTATACAACAATTTTTTTTTGTTCTTATAGAAATCCCAAAAATGAAGAGTACATTTGGGATGCACACTGTGTTTCCTTTCTAATGTTTCACCTGAAGGGTTTAAACTGTAAAGAATAAGTTGTACTTGAAAGTTTCACTAGCATATAAACTCCACTTGGTCAGTGAAATGTTGTATTGCATACCTGCGTCCAAGTCATTGAGATTGAACTTCTTTACCTGCTTGTCTGAGATGCCAAAACATTGAGGATACAATAATAATGAAAAGCTAGACTAATTTTCTAATCTATTCAAGCCCAATATTGCCCTAGAACTACAACTTAACATTCATCACCTTACTATTCTAATCTTTTCTTCCTTTGTGTTTTTTCTTTCTTTTATTTCTCCCCTATGGTTGAAGTTCTCCGCCAGTGGATTCATGTTGTGTATAACTTATATCAGATACCCTAATTAGTTACAACCTGTCAAACTTGCTGTTCCATACATTGACCCTGCTGAAAACTTTGTCAACTTCTTGGAATTCTTCATCATGTTTGGTCTATTTTCACTATGTTTAGAACATTTGTTTCTATTTATCGGAACTTAACTACGATAAGTATTGGGATAAGATATATCCCATGTTTAGAAACATGTGCACATTCGAAATACCTATCCATGAGACAAATAAACTAGCATAGTATTTAGATTGTAGATCTCTAGCCTCTAGGCCATAGATTAGATAAGATCTTGAAGTGAACTCATTTGGGCCAGATGCTTGAGCATAGAACACTCACTTCTACTATTGGTTGCACCTTCTTTCATTCTGGATTCCTCCATCTGGGAAATTGGGCTGTTTGAACTTTGAACGCCCACAATTCTCTCTCTCTCTCTCTCTCATATTAAATAATATCTGACAGGTGGATTGGAATGGTGGCTCTGAGACAATGGACGAAATACTTTCAAGGATATATCAGAGAGAAGAAGCTGCAGTAAAGCGGGAGCGAACTATGGCATATGCCTTTTCTCATCAAGTAACTCAATCACAAGAATATTATTCCATTAGTTTTGCTTCCTCTGTTATACCAGAGCACTATAGATCTAATCTTTTCGCAGTGGAGAGCCAATTCTAATCCAAATCTTGGGCTGAATTCCAAACTTGGCAAATCTGATTGGGGTTGGAGCTGGACAGAACGCTGGATTGCTGCTCGACCATGGGAGAGCCGAGTCTCTGTTCAGTCAAGTCCAAAGAAAGCTCATGGTCGGCCCACAAACAAGAGTAGTAAAAACATAAATTCGCCAACAATGAAAACAGCAATGTCAATCAAATCCATTTCACCTAACGGGAAGGGAACCACAACAGCCCGAAAGTTGTCTTACACTGCAGCTGAGAAACCAGCCACAGAAGAAGGAAACATTTCAGCTGAGGAATCAAACAACACCAAGAAATGACAAGTGATATCTTTATAGCAAACCAATGATATAAATTCAGAGACGATGGATTTTTGAATTGGTATGTTGCTGTGAATTGAAGAAAAAACATTCATTCATTTTGTGGCCATTTCTCATTCTATACATATGGAGTGGTGTGAAAGTAGGAGAGTTTGCCATTTCTCATTCTGTACAGAATGAAAGAACAAACTCGATTCGGACTGACCTGGTTATCCTTCTTTCTTGTTTGATATTCTTTCTTTCTTTCTTTTTATGGGGAATTGGTATAATTTGGAGAAAATAAGTTATATAAATGGTTATGTAAATAGAGAAAGTATGTTTTTGGTGAGTTTTTGTGGGAATGTGCAAATATTCAGCTTCTGTTTCCTTTTGAGTTCACTGTGTTATTATTTTTATGCTATTTTTGTGCTTTTCCTCCTAATGGCTTTTCAACCATAGCCAAAACCTAAGGAATCCACACACACACACAAAAACACTTCTCTGATGATATGAGCACACTATGTCTGGAATTGGGGCTGGCATGTCATAGCTCATCTTAATGTAATGTTTCTCATAGCTGATCTTAATGTAATGTTTCATTTTTTTATTTCCAAAGGTGCCTAGCAGTTTATTCAATGTTAAAAATCAACAACTATCATAAAAGAAGTCTTTCAAATTACATATGTAAGGGGCTATCCCACATTGGATAACTTTGGGTGCGTGTATGTGTTTATAGGGCCTTCTGACGCTTCCACTTTTAAGTGGAAGTTTCTGAATGGTTCTTTTGATCAAAAAAAGAAGAAACTTATAACTGGGCACCATCCCATGCGTCTGGGTGGGTGTGGGTCCCAATCTTTCTAACAAAAGGTGGTACGTAAGTGTGTCATCACTGAGGGCTGGGGTTATCCCACATCGGATAGTTTTGGGTGCGTCTGGGTGGGTGTGGGGTCCCAGTCTTTCTAACAACAGGTGGTACGTAAGTGGGTCACTGGGAGCTGGGCTATCCCACATCGGATAGTTTTGGGTGCGTGTGTGTGTTTATAGGGCCTTTTGACGCTTCCACTTTTAAGTGGAAGTTTAATAATGGTTCTTCTAATCAAAAAAAAAAATTACATATATAAGAAGTAATCTCCTATATCATTATTGCAATAACTCTCATAATTATATTGGAACGATTTTTCATTACAATAAGTAGCCATGCCTATATATATACACACATAACAATCAGCAAGCGAAATAGTCTTTTCGACCGTATTATCGACCACGTTCAAATCTTGACTGGATTTGGATTGGGCAAAAGCCTTAAATTAGTAGGACAATATCATAGCTATTATTTATTTGAATCCTATCACTTAGAGGACGGCCTACTTTCTTCGAGATACAAAAATGAGTAGTCCGAAACGGCTGTCCCTATTTTCTTTTTTTTAGATGGAGTCATCAACAGAACTGATCTTTACTTAAAGAAGGGTAGCGGTATCACACTCTTCCGTGCTCATAGGTTGACTCCCCTATGCATTTTATATGTGTGTCCTCTTGCCGTTTTTGTCCATCAAGGAGTGTCAAACTTGTATGGCTGAAAGATAAACAGTGGCACAATTTTGCATTTTCCTATGTTCTAATGAAGTATATACAATGATGTAAAACTGTAGTCAGATTGTCTGACCTCTATAACCGAAGGAAAACCCCTCCTGGGGAAAAGCATAGGAAAAAGAAAGGTCATCGTAAGATGGAGTTTGATAATCTACTTTACCAAACTCTAGTTTGCTTTCAATAATAAGATTAAGATACTGAAAAGTATTTTTTTGTGTTGATGAAGTAAAACTAAAATACGATTATCTTGAATTGTACTTTAACTTTTTTGTCGTAATTTGACCCAATTCTGCTATAACTTTGACCCAAAAATATATATAACTCCTTAATAGACATAATTCTAGGACATTTTCGGTGTGCCCACTTCACATTCACATTGATAATAAAACTATCGTGCAATAATTTTAAAATATAAAAATTCATCGAGGTCAATTATAAGTTATTGTAATTAATTAACCTCATTTTTTTTTTTTATAATGGGTTATAAACCTTTTTTTTGTTGTTTTTTTGGTTGCATAGACCATGTATATTGGCTTTTGACCTATTTGTCTTTAATGAATTTTTAAGTATCAAAAATGATGTAAAAAAACACAACTATATGACATCATTTTTATCGATTAGTGAAAAATTAGAATTTATAACAAATTTCTATTTCCGCCTGTCGTCTTACCTTGCCTTCAATTCACCACTCACTTCCATGATAGGTAATGAATAAAGTTTGCTTTTAATGGTAAGATTAAGATATCGAAGAGTAAGATTAAGCTAATGAAGTAACACTAGGCTCATGTGTTTTCTGACTGCTTCCATGCAGGCTCTCAAAAGTTGCATAGACATTCACACCCAAAATAATGTTGAAGTGAACAGAAGAATCACCTATTCATATTCTGCTGCACATTAAAGCTGATTAAAAAGACCAAACAGAAGGGCAAAAAAATAATTAGAAGGATAAACCCTTGGAATCAACCTTTTTTATTTTTTGGGTTTAACACTTAGAGACGTTTGGATCAGCTTATACGTATATCAACTAATCTCTTCTTTAGTCCGGTCAAAAATAGACCATTCACATTGAGATTAAAATATTTACGAGAAATAAATTTCTCATAATTTAATCTTAAAAAATTATTAAAATTTGAATTCAAGACAAATGGTTTGAATCCACCTTTCAGCCTCATGTATCTGATCGAAAACTGAAAAGCTAAACAGTTGGCTGAGTTAAAAATACTTAGTACCATCCAGTTTTCTGACATATGTATGGCTTGAATGGATTCAATAATTACACTTGCTTTTTCCTTTTAAAAGTTTGCATATTCCTTTAGGACTAGAAAGCAAACCATTTTGAAAGAATGGGATAAAAAGGAAAGAGAATCAACAGCTCAGCAAACTGGAAAAATAATCAGCAACATGCTTCTCTTAATCCCTCAAATATTATTGCCAATGGTTCTAGTCATGGCCAAGAATCCACATGTGTTTTTGGTGCATAGTTTCAGTCTGTTGGATAACAAAAATGTTTCAAAAATATTTTATAACTAAGACAAGAGAGAAAAAATTTAAAAGGTTGAGGTCAATTTTCTGGAATTTCACCTTCAATTAAAGAGTTAAACAAAATATCGAAAGCTAGATTAACCGAAAAATTGAGTGAGTAGGCAAATCGAAATGTCCATGTGAAATAAACTCCAAGAGACTGAGGGACACAATGTACCATGCTGTTGAACAACTATCTCTTCTAAAAGTTTAAACTGTGGAAGATTGGACAAAAGACAATGAAAAATGAGAGTTTTTTTCCCACAAAATTACCTCAATATTCCAACCTTATTCCCGCTCTACCTTGATTTATAACTCATTTCTTAAAAATATCGTTGTTTTCATGAAAACGTGGTTTTCTTATTGACAGTACAAACGTGCTTTTTTTTTTTTGTTTCAATGATCTGAGGTGTTTGAACTATCTTACACGTACTTTAACTAATTATCTCTTCTTTAGTCTGATTAAATGCAAATCATCTATGTCAAGATTACAATATCCATACACAAACATGCTTTGAGATTGTGTAAATTATGCTTTCACTCATACAAATAACGATAGCTTAATAAATAAATTAGAAACTTGAGAGAATAAAGCTAGAAAAATTACTGCAACTCATTCAGGTATAGCTAGTCCTGATAATGCAAAAGAGTGATAGCAGAGGATGGCTTGTTGGAAACTGGATTTTCCTTCTCTTGGCTTTGAATTCCCAGCAAAACAGAAAATTCTGAATTTTCACCACTGGAAAAATTGCTGGTAAAACTCACATTGGAATCCAAAATTTTCATTGGAGTGTGAATTGAAGGAAAAGAACTGGACTGAAGGGGTTCCCTTTGCCAAAACAGTTGGTTTTGGCCTAGACCTGGTGGCATTGAATCAAACACAAACCCTTTTATTCCTCCTGCATTCCCTGAATTTGAAACAGGAAAGTGACCCATCTCTGTTGTGACATTAAAATCTAGAGGAGTTGAGGAAGTGAACAGGCCTTGCTGATGATCAGTAGAATGAAAGGGACTTGAATGATGATGTAGACAAATGGGTTCATCTTGAAAAGGTAAGAAGGAGAGAGAAAAGCCTTGGTTTTGGCTTTTAATTCTTGAAATCTGGTCACCTGGGTGGTGGTGGTGGTGGAAATCAATGGAAGATGATGGTGCAGAACCACCAGTTGTGGAAAAGAAGCCAAAACCGCCAATGGGGTTGCCACCCGATTGCTGTTGATCATGAATTTCATATTCAGAATATGTAAACTCACTTTCTTGCTGTGTTTGATGATGAATATGATTTGGGCTATGTTCTTCCAAGTGTAGTTCTAGTTGTTGATGTTGATGAACTGGTTCAGTCGTGTACGAAGGATCATCGTGTCGCAGAGGATAGTAATCTCTAGCCGGTAACTCATTAAGGGCATCAATGGCGGCCTTGGCCTCCTGCATGAGCCAATCAATGGCCTTACTCGGTCTGTCACAACCGAGCCGATCTTGAACATCATAGAATTGTATGGCAGTGTTTGCTGATAACCGCACTCGCCGGTCCTTCGGGCCCTTTGCTGTGCATACCTTGCTGTGCCGGTCTTTTCTTCCGGTGGACCGAACAATCCGGCCACCGTGGATGTCAACCACATCACCTTTCTTTCTCTTTAGCCTTAATTTTGGTGGTGCTTGGCCTAAACCCTCTTGCATTCCCCCACCAAGTGTTTCATATCTCTTGTTTTTATGCTCAAATGCCAAATTTGAACAAGTAGAAAAGAAGTTGGGCCATTTTGCTTGGTGGGTGTCTATTGTTTTTCCATAATGATTTCGTTGCTGTTGATGATTATGGCCATGAAACCATTGTTGTGTAGCTTTGTGCTGTCCATCTTCATGATCATCCTCCTCCTCCTTTTCTTCTTCTTCTTTTGCTTGATCTTCTTCATCTAATAGTGGTTCTTGATTACTTGGATAATCCAGATTTGAGCTACCCTCTTCCAGCTTTGGAACTGCCTATGTAATAGAGTCAACTTGTCTGTGATCTATAGTTCAATACTTCTAAAAACTGGTGTCTCGATACTTTATATAGTGTGCTTTTTTTTGTTGTATAAAAAAAAAAGGTGGGATAAAAAAGAGAGTGCAAATATCATTCTAATAAGCCTTTACTAATGAAATTTTGAGATTCTTAATTGCAACCGTTATTCCTCTCTAATAAATGGAATTATGAGACTTCTAACTGCGACCATTATTCCTCTTGAAAATAAACCTAGTTAGACTAGCATAACTGTCAACTACCGAACTCCAATGTGGCTACCAAATCTTGAACCCCCAATTTTAGAGTAAGAAGTTCGATCGATATCCTATTGGACCACCCCACTAAGTGGTATACGTTATATGGTGTTAATTGGTAGTATAATTATATGGTGTTAATAAGTGGTTATAACATCAAGGAGTAATTCAAGTGGTAATAAAAACAAACTGTATATCCAAACATTTTGAGTTCAAATTTTGGCATATCATCTTTTAGAGTGAGGTCATAAGAGATTTATCTCTTATGAATATTTTAATTTTTGCATAGATTATCTATCACTGACCGACATGAAAAAAAAATTAGTCGAGATTAATTAAAAATAAGGAATATAGTGAGAAACAAGTTTTGTTTGATAATTGATACCGTGGCATTATTCTAATCTTCTCAGTTGTGAAACCAATTATAGTAATTTGGCTTTTGAAAGGAAGCTCAGAAGTCAGAACTTTTGAGTATGTAATGAATGGAAGAAACAATGATGCAGCTAAAAATTCACGTGAAGCAGCAAAAGCCAGCACAAGCACCGTAAAGTTATCACTGTGAATGAACAGATGTGCATGCATGTTGGAAGAGAGGACAACAGTGTTCCGATATAGAGGCAAAAAAAACATAAAAAAGATCATTCCTCCATCTGTAAGTAAATCTAAGCGAACGAGGGAAATCGAACCTTCAACATATCGTTCCATTAGTATAATTAAATTAAATTTTCTAACTATTTAAATATCGATTAAAGACAAAAAAAATAGTCATCCCATTCTTTTTCCTGGTAATTAAATTGATAATATTAAATCACTATTTCCTCTAAAAATTTAAACTTACAGACAAATGTATAACATATTTTTTTTTATCTATTATAGAAAATAAGTAGGTAACACTTAAATATTATTTGTTCTAAAAACTTAAGTTGATAACGCCGTATGTATTTATCTATTATATAATCACCCCAGAAAAGATTAAAAAAAAAACTCAGGTTTGAGATATTAAATATATCCATAAAAAGAGCAGTCACCTCTAAGCTTTATCCTATTGCGGCTAAATTGTGTTTTTGTCTTATTATTTTGAATTTGTGTCGAGTACTAATTAATTTTAATTTAATTTATTTAATTAATTATGTTATGTCGTATCGTGTCGTGTCATTTTGTATTATGTCGACTTATTTATTTTTGTATTGTATTCGTGTTGACTCATATAATCTTGTTGACGAAAAATTTAACGCTCAATTTGATATTTAAAATTTTATTATTACTTAATCAAATCTCTATCATACTTTTATTATAAGCTAAAAATTAACTTAGTAAATATAATAATAAAAATAAGTAATTTTTTTTTATTTGAGTATCATAAACGCCTTCATTTCGGCTTCCAAGGACAATCCTAAATGAAAAAGCATTTTTAAAAAGGATAAAGTTACAAGACGAGCCCAGCTCCACCGAACGAAGAAAAGGAAATAAAACTCGAATTTTTTAAAATGTTTCAAAAGAGAGTTCTATAGGGGTGACAATTGTGTTTTGTCTTGTTGTGTCGTGTCGTTTCGTGTTGAGAATTAGTCGATCCTAATTTAATTTATTTAATTAATTGTGTCGTGTCGATTAAGTTATTTATTTTTGTGTCGAATTTGTGTTCGTATTTGTGTTAACTCATATAAATCTCGAATAAAGAAATTAACTCTGAGATTTAAGTCTAAGATTTTATTATCAATTAATTGAATACATGTTTGCACTTTTTCTATAAATTAAAAATTAACTTAATAAACATAACAATAATAATGAGTAAAAATGTCTTTTTGTATAATAATTATGTTAATGGTTAATAAATAATTAGCATTTTATTTATATAATATTAATTAAACATGTTAATCGTGTTATTTATGTTTGACACTAACTCAACCCATTTATTATTTTGTTAATGGGTCGTGTCATTTATATTTTGTGTTAAGAAATGATTAACCCTAATAAATTAATTTCGTGTCGAATTTGAATCGTGTTATCGTATTGTGTTAAAAATTATCACTCCCGTGATAAAGAGAAAAATGAATAAAAAGAGGAAAAAAGAAAAAAAAAAAAGAAAATCCAATAGATTATCATGAACTTGCATCCGTCACCATAGTACAAACCATAAAAATTAGGTCATTTCTTCATAAAATATAATAAAAAAATTAGTATTTTATTCTTACATTAATATTTAAACATGTTAATCATGTCAATTTTATTTTATTCGTGTTTTACACTATAATTCATTTATTATTTGTGATAACGAGTCGTATCATATATATATATAGGTTTGTACAATAAATAATTAATCTTACCTGGTTAATTTTATATTAATTTTAAATTATATTTTTATATTATGTCATAAATTGTCACCTAAGAGCCATCAGTCATAGCTTCTGACAAACAAAAGTACACAGAGGACCCACAGTTAACTGTTTTGATGAGCTGAAGAAAAAGGACAGTTCTGCATGCGTGAATGTGCATGGTATCTCTCTCTCTCTCTCTCCTACTTAATTTATCTTATTTTGCTTATGATGAAAGTTAACGAAAAAAGGTGGGGTGAATAATATTTTTTATTTTTAAAGTATATAATTTTTATTAGTTTAATTTTCGTTATATTAATTTAATTCTTAATTTATTTAATTCATTAAATTTTTTCACATAAGTGATCATATACCCTTTTTTAAAGAAGGTATTACATGTCTAACATGTAATCATTTCGTCAAAAACTTAACGATTCGTCTATGTAAAGACTAAAATGACGTGAATTGAATACTTTAAAAACTAAAATGACAAAAGATGATACAATGAAAATTAAACTGATAAAGAATATATATTTTAAGAACCAAGAGTATTAGTAACCCTAAAAATTATAAGTTAATTTGTACTAATGTGTACGTGGAGAAGAAAAAAAGGAAAAAAGAAAGGTAAACTATATCATGAAATTTCGAGCTAATTTACCAATTTTTTTTTTCCCCCACCAAAATAAACCCACATGTATATCAACCAACAAATAAATATGGGTAAAGCTATGATATAAAAATTGGTACCATATTTTTATTAATTTAAGTCGAAAAGTGCTGGTATGATATTGAAAAATATTTTTTATTATTGTAATGGGATTTTAAAAAATGGAGAAGATTATGGTATAAAAAAGAAAATTGGTATCGTACTTTCAATTTTTATCACTTTTATGAGTATTTTTATAATAAAAAAATTTATAACTTTTATGAGTATTTTTATAATTTTTTGTGTATTTTTATTATTTTTGTGGTAATTTACAATCAATTCTAAAATATTTAGATCGATCGCAAGCTATTGTAAAAATTGTAAAAATATTCACAAAAATTATAAATTACAGTAAAATATATATATACTAGTTATTGTCTGTGTTTGAAGGCACTTAGTAATAAAAAATAGTGAACAATAAACATATTTATATTCATATTTAAAATTAAATTACAAATATAGAGAAGAGATAATGAAATTTAAGCATTGTTTTGCAGTGGGGGGAGAGAAGTGGTGGCGATAGTGATGGTGGTAAAAAACGGTGATGATTGTGGTGGATGACAAAGATCACAATAGTGGCAACAATGGTAGTGGCGGCGACGATGATGGTAGTGATGGTGGTGGTGGTGCTGGTGGCAGTGGTGGTGATGGGCGTGATGGTGGTGGAGGCAGTGGTGGTAACGTCAGCAGTGACGACGACAACGACAGGATGGTGGTGGGGTGGCAGGGATCGGCGGTGGTGGTAGTGGCGACGGTGGTGGCGGTGGCGGTGTTGGTGACCACGACAATGGCGGCGGCGGCGATGGTAGAAGTAGTAATAAGGTGATTTCAAATATTATTTTTTAAAAAAATATTTATGAGAAATAATTTTTCAAAGTATTTTTAAAAAGTCATTTCAAACATACTTTTAGGGTCTTATTTTTTTTATTAAATTTAATATGTTAATATTAGCCATTAAATTAGTTTTAAAATAAAAATTAAAATGATCTTAATCACAAATAGTAAAAATTATTAAATTAATATGTTAATATTATATATATATATATATATATATATATATATATATATATATATATATATATATATATATATATTGTATGCAGATGTTGCATGATGATTAGAAGCAGAAGTGATATCACATGCCACGCTATAACTGGGTGTCCTATGCGGCTTTGGTGATACAGATGGCTAGTGGTAGCATGTGGGAGGAGCCCACTGAGCATGATTAGTCTACGCTCTGAACGTTCACTTTTTCTGAAACTGGGCTTCGCTTACGAGGAGTCTCTTCACCACCGTGACTTCCAAGTACAAAATCCCATCAATATAAATCAGTACTATTAGAAAAACAGACCCCATCAGGCCATAACTAAGTTGGTCATCCATCTCTCTCTCTCTTCAGCAGAGACCTGCTAAATTGAAATTCATCGTTTACGGATAGAACTAATGGGTTATACGGGTTGGGTTTAGGATAATTTATAAATTACATATGCTTGTGGCGAGGACAAGTAACAAAAAATAGGTGAAATCCTTTTACTTACGAATGGTATTTCATTTTTCATCGTATCAAAGTACTTTTTCAAATCCCTCTAAACAACAATATCAATACAATTCAAAGGAAACTTAGCTAAATTATACACGACCCTATTTTTATCCTCGTGATTCTAGTTAGTAGAAAAATTAGAACATTCTTCAGTTAAACACTTGATTTATTTCAGAAAATGACCCATAAAAAGATAGCAAATTGTGATCCTGTGAGATTAATTGAATCACTCCTTTAAAATCCCCTTCCAGAATGAACCTGTTTTATCTCAACTCCACAGCAAACTTAGCAGCTTCATGTGCCACCCAAAATTTTGCCTGTTTTGGACAAATAATATCCAAAATTTGATAGCTTAAGTCCGGTACAAAGTGCCCTTTACAATATCTAACAACCACCCTCAAACCACCAGAAGAATTCAAATTGGATAAAGCTCCATCAAAATTCACTTTATAACACCAAATGGAGAAATGTCTTACTACTTGAACAAGTCCGCTCTAAGGTTGTGTTGGTGTTTAAATTATATTAGTTGGTGCATATGTATGTTGCACATGGATTATATCATTCTAGAACCACTCATTGTCAAACCTACATCACTGTATTGAGAGTAACCAAAAATCCTATCACATTTTTCATATATATTATTAAGCAGAAGATACAGAGAGATGAATGAGTGCATTTCTAATAATAAAAAAGTAGAGAGAAAGAAGATGAAGGGGTGTGTTTTTAGTAGTATCATGCACTAAGGTTTAACTGTAGTAAATTCTATTTAATGCTAAATAAAATTAGATGTTTTATCCAAATAAAATCAAATGTAATGCACTACTAAATATAGTAAGAATAAAGAGGAAAATAGTATAAAAAGAAATTTTGTTAACTCCAGAAAAAAAAAAATAGAAGAAGAACTTAACCTTAGATTCATTATGGCAATGCCTTCATGCGAATATCTCATCACACCAAGGTGCTATGATCTTGCATCTCATTCTGTAATGTGTGCACCTAAAAATTCATAATATACCAAATTAAA